TATTTATTGTCTACCAAATGAAATATGAATTATATGCATCTTTAGAAATTACAATTTCTACAATATTAATCTTGTTTTTATATAGATAAATGTTCGATAAATTCTATCTTTCATTAAAAAAAAACACGAAATTCAGCGCGTATATTTTCATTCTAATCAATGGCGTTTGTAAAAGTGCACTGACGTCATCGTCGAATTCCAGGACTTTCGACGGTAAAGCTGGCCTTCCTGCCCCGATCCCAGGCCAACTAATAATAATTAAAAAAATGTTAGTCAACATCTAGGCTAGGCTTTTGATTTTGAAATCAATAACTCACCTTAAATGACTATCTGTCGTTTTCTTCTTTGCAATCAGCGGACGAAAAAACGTCAGTTACTACGACATTTCATGATTCTTTATCACTAAAAATTAACAAACACTTGTTTTGACGCACTCCGTTCTGTAGTGTGTGTCTGCTGTTGAAAACAAACCTCCTAGCCTAATTTTGTGACTGGCTATGCTGAGATGGACCATGTTGATTTATTAATAATATTTCGTTTGAGATGGAAAAAAGGCGAGTCAATTTCCCCAAAATGCTCCATCAGCACATAGTTTAGTGTGCGCTATGAACAGTATGGCTATGGAATTTACTAACCACACAATCCACAATCAGGTGATTAAGTCGCAAAACTTTATCTGCATTTGGTGGATTAAGTCGCAAAACTTTATCTTCGTTTAGTGGCACCATTTACTCTAGGTAGACGGCGACCGGTTTCGTTAACGGTTGGTACATTTCTTACAAACATTCAGCCAAAGGCCAGTGAAAGTTGAGACGACAGCCGGGTTTTTATCGATATTTGCGATCCTTATGTGTCATGGTTTGCTGGAGTTGCGTTCAATTTAAATCTCCGAACTTCTGAAGCTAAGATATTCTATAAATATAGCCTTTTATCGCAGGCTACAATTTAAAAACGGGTGACCAAATAATGAATTAGGTGCTAAATTTTGATTTAATGCTAGGTAAGTTAAAAACAGAGATTCAGTCCGAGTGGGACTCATTCAAAAATTCGAGGGGGTTCGCTAGAAAACAGGGGGGTTCGCTAGAAAAGGGGGGTTCGCCCGAACCATAAATACCCCCCTGACTACGGGCCTGCAGGGGAAGGAATGCTTTCCCGTCCAGAAAGATGCGCTACAACATCCTACTAGGCACTCATTTATACTTCCGAGTGGAATGATACATTAAAGTGCTTTACACAAGTGTTATACACCTACGAGCAGGGACACAGGATTTTGAAAGTGGGAGGGGGGCCGTTATGCGAGGTACGTAAGACCCCGGTGGGGTTCCAGGAGCGAGGTCCCCTGGGAAGTAGCGCACTCTGAACGTTTTTAGGACTGTTTTGAGACGATAAAGTAAAAATTGCAATAGACGTGTCATAAATAATATTAGTAAGCCTAACAAAAAGTATAATAATAACTTAACATTGGTGGATCCGGGAATTTGAAAGAGAGGTGACCCAGGAAGGGACTTTCACTGAAGAACCACCCACCTCAGCCCCACAATATTTGGGGCCAAGGTAAAAAAAAACAAAAATATGACTAGGGCACCTCTAGATGGCTGGAAATTACACTCTCAAACTCAGTAAATTTGAATATATTTTTCTCTTTTTTCCATTAAAGAAATTCAGAGGGACCGCCACTGCTCAAAACATTCTTTATCCAAAATAGTCATAATCACGAAAAATGGCCATGGAAAACTAGATCACATCCTAAAATCAAATGTATGTAGCCTCGCTTCACAGTCACTAAGACATACTCTGAGTCAAGTGCCGAACTCAATGGAGTTTAATGTCATACACCCAGAGGCAGGGAAATGTACAGATCTGTTTTGAAAGGTGGTGTCGACGCCCATCTCAGACCCACCGTGGGTGGGGATGAGGTCAAAAATTTAAGGAAATAGTAACTCTAGATGGCCAGGATGACACTTCATCATCACATCAACATTATATAGTCAAAATGATCTTTCATCAGGGATTTTCGGCAACCATAGAGATCTGATTAATGTGTGATGTACCATAGAAAATAAAGCTTAAAAACATTGTCTTTGAGTATGTAGCTTACATAAATCTAAGTCATGATTTCACAGCCACCTCAGCCCCAACATGATTGGGGCTGAGGTGAGAAAATATGAGAAATAGTACCTCTAGATAGCTGGAAATGACACTAATATATTATAGTAAAATTCATCATCACCACATCACCATTATATAGTCAAAATTTTTCATGATGTTTTATCAGAGATCTTAGGCCTAAATATAGCTTTACCCAGCTTTAAACTATAATAATTATGATCAACAAATCACAACTTTCTTTTTCGTCTTTTGCACAACTTTTTATTATTATCTTAAAAGACCTGACCTGGGATTTATGGATTTAAAATGTTTTCAGTCACACCTATGTGTTATAATTATAGTATACCTATTAGGCCTATATGTGCTGATGCATTTTTGCATTTAGAAGTATTCATTTTGAGTGATTCCAGGAAAGAATATGTATTGGCTAGCATGAACAAGCTTTAAAATGTTAACACTGTGTACAAAGGGGAGAGGGGAGCCGTGGCTCCCGGCTTCCCCCCTGGATACGTCCCTGCTTACGAGGTCTGATAGCCTCAACGTTAAGAGTCCGAACTGAACCGCAGGGCCTACTCTGACCGCTCCCCCAAAATCACAGAAGTCGACCAAATAAATCGTAGGCACTTAATGCATAGGCTCTAACAGTGGCGGATTTAGGTGGGTGAATAGGGTTGCTAACCACCCTTCCATTCTTAAAAAAAATTCCAAATTATAGAGATTTAAATTTCGGTCTAGGCTAGACTTTCTTTCAAGGCTAGCAGGGCCTTGGTCAAAACATGATGCAGACCTGTCTACCTTTTTTTTATTGTCAAAACTCCGTTTTACATGTAAGAAATCAGACAGAATAATTCTTGACATTAGCAATGAATGGAAAGTGAAAGCGTGGCACCCCGAGAGAGATACGAAATTCTAAACTTCGTTTAAAGAAAACTGAATTGGAAATTATTTATTAAAATGAAAAATAAAGTTTGTTAACTGATACATTAAAGGTAAACATATCCTCTGTTTAAAAAACATTTTTGTAAGATATTAAATAATTTGTTGCTATGGCCTGTCCAAATACAAAAAAAGACGTTCTAGCTGTGTAAATGCAGTTCACTATTTTAGATTCAAACTATTGGTTTTGTCTTTAAATAAAGATTCCAGTTTCAAAGTGCATTTAATTTTTAGTTTTCACAATAATTACAGTCTATGTAATTTTTGAAATTGTTGATAATAATTTATGTGAAGGTGGATATTTCTTTTTCTGTTTGATACATTTACGTGATAGCCCTGTCAAAATGCAGAAATTCAACCTTAATTATAACATCATCCGCTTACTATTTATATCCTTATAGTTGATCGTAGACCAGTGAAGACACTGAGTCAACCGACACCAACACTACACAAGAAATCATCCACTCCAACACGAACTGAAGATACTGCAGTGCGTTCCAGTGACAAATCTGATACTTCGACAACGAAAAATCAATCACACATTGATGACAGTGGTCATGTCACAAATCATCAACACAAAGTGGATACAAATCCACATATTGCTATTATCGTTACCAATAAACGTTCTGGATCTTCATTTTTTGGAGAGTTGTTTAATCAGAATCCAAATGCATTTTATTTATTTGAGCCACTGCAGTGTTTTACACAAATGGCTCTAAAGAACGAGATTCCCTCTAATGAGTTCAACTCTCTTTCAATTAAAACACTGAAGTATATTTTAACATGTGATTTCTACAATATTCCTTACTTAAATACTTGGTGGGAAGCGTTCAGAAATTTTATCTGCTGGAGCACTCCTTGGTCAAGTCTATGTAAAGACAATAAACCGAGGGAGGTATCCATAGAAACGGGACTTGACACGCTCGTTCAAATGTGTAATTTGTCTAAATTAGTTGCTATCAAAACTATTCGGTTAGCTGACATCGCCTCTTTACGCGAATTTGTTGAAATGTACAACATGAATGTGAAAGTGTTACATTTGGTCCGTGATCCCCGAGCTGTGATGAATTCAAGGTGGTACTTACATTCTCCAAACTATGACTTTCTTAGAAAGAAGGTCAAAGATGAAACAATTGACTTGTGCCAGCACTCTGTACGGAATATGAAATACGTATCATCTCAACCTGATTGGCTTAGAGGGCGATATAAACTTGTTCGATTTGAAGACGTAGCAAGTTTTCCACATGAGTGCGCAAGACAAATTTATCAATTCTTGGGAGTAGAATATCCACTTGTATTAGATGGATGGATAAATGAAAATACTAACAAGGATACAGCGAATCCATACAATACTAAAAGAAATTCCTCTGGCATCATTAATAAGTGGAGGAATGAGATGGACTTTGAGCAAGTTAAAAAGATACAAAGCAAATGTTCACTAGCAATGACGTCATTAGGATATAATTTAATGAATGAAAGTCAATTTGTGAATATCGACGATTATGAATCTTATCTTAGACCTGAAGAGTTACCTTTCACAAAGCTCCATGGCATTTTTGTCAAGATTAATAATTAAGTTTACAGTTTTATACCTTTTATTTTCAGGTACGACTTCAAATTGTAAAAGGGTATTAAAATTGTCAATAAAAAATATACCGAAACTTATATTATTATTAATAATATTTTATTGTATTTTATTATTGCTATAATTATTATCATCAATGTTATTATTATAAATGTTCCACAAATCAAATGAGGTATATTTAATTATATACTAGATAGTGTAGTGTAATTTCTGTTCTGTTTTTTGTAATTATCAAATGAATTTTCTTGCAAAGATATCAATAATCGGAAAATACTGGACTTGGTTTGTAAGGTCACTGCATTGTAATTATTTTCAGTCGTGTTAAAACATCAATAATCCCCAAAGCGATATAATGTCAATCTGCATTTAGTTTATAAACAATTGCATTTTTGTTTGAGTATGAAATAGTGTCGTCGTTTGATAGTGAGAGGTGTCACACTTCGATCAATCTCTAACCAATCAATTATGGCTTCGATACACAAAACCACAAAACGCCATATCATTATCCTGTTAAACTCTGTGCTCTATCAGGAAAATTTTATTAGCTAAGCTATCATTACCTGTTGGTAAGCATCATTACTGTTATTATTAGTATTAGTATTATAATGATCGTTATAATTATCAAGGACACCAGTATTGTTAATATTATTATTATTATTATTATTATTATTATTATTATTATTATTATTATTATTATTATTTATAAGATCCGTCTCACTTATTATAACTAAATCTAACTGTTTTAATGCTAACTCCTTTAGCAAAGTAGATTCATATAAGCTGTGCAAGCTAGGCCTATGTTCACTTAAATGTGTAGGAAAAGAATTCCACTTTGTGTCAAGTTTACAGTGATCTTCGTGAGATTTATCGGGGAAATATTATTATAACAATTCCACACAGCAGAAATACACTTTTGTTGTTTTTTACATTTACTATTTACTGGTACTTTACTCTGCAGCATGAAAACACGTGTGTTGTTGCCTAAAGAAATAAAAAGGACCTCGTGTCTAAACGATGAATCAATTTTATGTTTATTATCATCAATTCAATTAATACAGTAATCATTCAATTTATTAGGAAATAATACCCTATCGGTGGTACACACAAAGATGGTACATCCAAATTGACAATCTCAACAAAATAAACTTAGACTATAAAACTTGGCATGAAGTAAAATTTTTAACACTGTCGCTAAACGATCAATGTTGCTGAGAAATGGGGATATAGATTGGTTTAGAATAGAAAGTTGTGCTTTTAGACCAATATTGTGAACGACACAGACCAGGCTATAATTGAGATAGGTGCCACTTGGAGAGGTAGAAATTCTCATATGGTTTTTCTAGACCAGTTTTTTATGGGGAATCAGAATATGTGAGGTAAAAGGGGTGTAACCTGAGAACTTTCGCGTGAGGGCGCTTTTTCAAAATGGCCGCAAAAATCCAATAAACTACATATATATTGGTAAAATAAGCACAAAAGAGGTAGGTTTGACCCACTTTTGAATATGTAATGCTAGGAGTAAAGTATAAACTAGCTAAAGTTATTGATGTGAAGATTTCGGAAGGCAATTGAGGGCGCTTTTTAAAATGGCCGCCAAAATTAAAGAACAACTTAACAGCAGCATCAGTACCCTAGATAAATTTGTTTAATTTACAAAACATGAATGTAATAACTGCTGTTGACTTTTTAAACCGAAAATAACGTATTTTAAGGGTGTAAGCTAACTCACTTTTGAAAATGTAAGTAAAATTTCCCCCTTGTATTATTAGCCCTTTTCTGTTTTGAAGAATGGAAAATATCACCAGAATCCTAAAAAAATTCCAGCTTCCTTACAAATATCCGGTTGTTTTTTTTTAATTATTATTATTTATGTGTGCTATACAAGGTATTCCAGACAACTACCATAATTTTCATGTATGAAGAAGGCATCAATTCATTTACTACATTTTGTCCTGTAGTGTTTAACAGCTTTATGTTGAGCAATAATCTTCAGGTATCGCTTTTATCACTGCAATCTGAAAGTCTTCGTATTTAACCTATGAACAATTCTTGGACTTCTACAGGAATTTGTTCATTCCATCTGTTCCATTAACTATTTTTATTGACAGTCATTTACCTCTGCTTATTTTCATTCTTGAACGATTAAGTTTGTTAAGTATCTGAAGCTCGAAATTCTGCTAACATGGTGGCAACAATGATATGTCAGTGATCTTGTGTCTCTGCAAAACTTTCTATTGAACATGTTACTGGCTTGATTTACACTTTTCTCCTTAACTCCAAGCTGCAGTGAGATATACTTTTGTTCTTTTAGACAACTTTTATGACAGAACATCTAAAACTACGAAGTTGCTGAAAGTTTCAACAAACTCAGTTTATGATTACAGAAGCTACGTTTTCCTTTACGAAAGAAAGCCGGAGTGTAATTGTCTGTATATCGATGTCTCGAAGAAGGGAACGGATGATTTCAATGCTATGGCTGTTATTCGGTAAAGCATGCTTTGCATACAGGAAGACTTTCGTGTTGGCTTCTTCTTGACGGTTCTACGCCAGATCGTAGAACCCCAGGTTGCCGACTGCCAGATTTTCGAGTTCACTTTGCCAAAACACAGTTTGCCGAATGCCAGTTTGGTTATCAAATACTACGAATCCCAGTTTGTTGAAACCCAGTTTGTGCTGAAGTCCACTTTGTCGAAAATAAAATAAACCAGTATTAAAACATTAACCACAGCATAACATTCATGTTGGAACACTCTCTTACTACGTATTCGTATAAGAAATATTGTAGTTAAATGATTCTTTTTGTTTTAATCTGTAAATCAATTGGCTATCAGCAAATAAAAGTCAGTTTGATATGCCTCGCAGTTAAAAACTTTTATTAGCATACCTATGATAAATACATAAATTTATTTAAAAAAAATAATAATAAAGAAGGAAATAAACAAATTAATAATAATCTACAATTATACACACATGTCAATTGTGGCTCCAGAAAGTTGTCGACAGGTGGTCTGACTCAAGGTGCCGACTAGAACCTCGGTGGTCAGGGACCTGGCACAACAATCCTGATAGGGTTTGCAGAGGGAGCATTTTAAAAGGATATGATGCTTATCCTTAATTTCATTTCATTTTATTTCTAATTTTAACCGATAGCCATGTGTGTTTTTGTACAGCTTTGTTGTCTTCCAATATTTTTCCTTTTAATTTGTACACAAATGAAGCTCCTTCCTTTTAAATGCACAGTATGTACACAGAGATTTCGACTGGGTTTCGGAAAACTGAATTTTGCAAACTGGGATTTAATGATTTCAGTAAATAACAGGATTCGGCAAACTGGATTTCGACAAACTGGTTGGATACCTTCTTGAATACTATTGCTATCGGCAAGAATGCATCCTTGTCACTGAAAGAGATTTTGTATTAGTTCCAGATCTTTGTAGCAGCTAGGAAAATCAGACTCGAAATTCGTCCTGCATGCAATGCATGCTTTAAGGAATTGCAACAAATACATAAACATCAACCGTTCCATTGTGGAGACATCGGTAATTCAGTCGTTGCTACTGTATATCTTATTTTATGACAATGGAGAGAGGGTCATTCTATACACAAACACTGGCAAATACCGAAAGTTGTTCAAATTAAGTGACATTAACTTTAACCAGAGAAGAAATCATCCCTTATTGGATCTCGTGCTTCTGTAGTCAAAGGCAAAGTTTTGTTGACACGTTCTGCAACATTAAAGTTTTAGATGTTCTGTCAGAAAAGATGTATGAAGAACTTGAAGACTGCGGCATGGAGTTAAGGGGAAAAGTGTAAATCAAGCAAGATGTGAAATGTTCAATAGAGGCAACAAGATCAGACATATCATTGCTACCACCATGTTTGCAAGCAGACCCTTGAGCACTTGAGAAAATTTTAATCGCTAAAGAAAATTAAGCAGATGTATGATTTGGTCAATAAAAATAGTATTCACAACAGATGGAATGATCAACTGAAGCAAAAAATGATTGAGACAGTGATGCCCATGGACGTCCAAGAACTGATTATAATAAAGACGAAGACTTTTATATTGCAGTGATATTAGCAAACAATAATAATAATAATAATGATAATAATAATAATAATATTTATTCGGCAGAGTAAAAAGTATACATACAATATTCTTGCCAGGAGTAAGTAATAGGCATAAGCCCAAACAGTAAACTGCTCTTACTCCATCATCAAAAACAAATACAATGACAATACAATATAAA